TGAGGTGGGAGGATCACTTGAGCCCAGGAGTTCGAGACCAGCCTGAGCAACACAGCAAGACCCCATCTCTACAAAATCCAAAAAATTAGTTGTACCTGGTGACACATGCCTATAGTCCACCCTTTTTGAGAGGCTGAGGCAGGAGAATCAGTTGAGCCCAGGAGGTCGAGGCGACAGTGAGCCGTGACCGCACCACTGCACTCCAGCCTGGGTGACAGAGCGAGACCCTGTCTCAAAAAAAGAAAGGAAGAAAAAGATCTTTCCTACTTTCTTGCTAAGGCAACACAGGACCCACCCCTAGTCCTTTTTCCATGCCAGGACTGTAATAGAGAGAAGGTGTCACCGAAAACTGGTGCCTTTTCTAAGTATTTTACTTGTGAGAAGAAAACAAAACTGCTGCCTGGCCAGCTTCAGGCAGCTTTGCCTTTTAATGAATTGGCCACACGCTCGCATATGAGGTCATCGGCCTCCAGCATCGTTTCGACTCCGGGGCCCAGTTGCTTTCAGGGGTGTGTTTCCAAAGGAGCTGGTTGCTGATTCCACCTTTTCCCTGCCTGTCCTGCCGCACTCTGGCCAGTGCACCCCTCTCTGCATCCTGGCTTGTGGATCAAGTCTCAGCCCACTGGGCTTTGCATGCCTGGCGTCATAAAGCACTCAGCTAAGGAACTCTCTGCAGAGTTGGTGAGGCTGTACCCTGCAGAACTGTGGGATCGCATGGTTAGGGCCTGTCTCATATCCGGGATACACTCAGTATTTCAGAAAACACGAACTGATTGTGATATCAGCCGTCCCCACGCCGCCTCTTACCAGCTGTGTTATTAGGCACGTGGTCTCGCCTCCCAACCTCAATATTTTCATCAGTTATAAGAACCGTAAGGCACTGTGTGTAGGTTAATTGAGATGATTCATGCAACGCCTCATCTGCCCAGCAGGAAGATGCAGTAGGAGTAGTTGTTCTCTTCCTCGTGAGGCAGTCCCTGCTGTGTTTCTGTGTTTCGACTGACTGTGTGACCAGGGCTGACATTGGGGGCCAGACACCCCCTCTCCTAACTGGACCCCTAGATCTTCTGCAGAAGTTTGCAAGTCTCAGACAGGCAGCCCTTGCCGTTCTAAAATCCTCAGCCCAAACAGTCTTATTCTGGCTATAAATAAAAGTTCCTGCTACACAGAGAGCAGCAGCTCGTCAGAAGCAAAGCCGGGCACGAGCCAGATCCTAAAATAAACCCCAGGCTGTGGTGAGGCGGCGTTTCTGTGGAACGGCCCTCCCTGCCTTTCTGCCTGTCCCTGTGGGTAAGTGTGATCATAAGGGGCTGGAAGTATTGCTCTGGAGAATCGGTAGAGATGGGGGCCTGTTGAAAATGGTGTGACCATGAGCCCCGATGCAGCTGCTGGTATCTGCAGAGCCCGAGGGGCACAGCAAGGGCTTCATGGTGATCAGAAGGCTTTCCCTGTGTCTCCCTGCCCCATGAAGGTACCTTTCCAGTTTGGCTCTTGTCCCAGCATGACTGCATAGCTTGAATACCAGAGCGTGAGCTCACAGCTGCAGAGGGAGGGCCAGGGCAGGCCAGGCCAGGCCCCTTTGTCCAAGAGAGGCCGACTCTCCTTCCTTTCTCCTTGGTAGCTGCCCCCTCCTTGGCAGTCCACACCCCTGGTCGTTTCCCTGAGCCTCCCTCCCCAGTGTCTGGACCTGAACCCATGCAGTGGGTGAAGTTTGTCTCTTACCCATCCACGCTCAAAACTGAGCCGCTGCTGTGAGTCAGGCAATATTCTAGGCACCTTAATTAATAATACGGTGCCTAGACTATGTATTAGGTGCCTACTAAAATACGTATCAGCAAATACATATTAGGTCCCTACTGAATGCCCCAGTGCTGTTATTTCGAGCAGTTCTGGATTGTTTGGAGGGCAGGAGAAGACAGCTGCTGCTGGCCAAGAGGTCGCCCACACCAGCAGCATGCGGAGGACTTGTATGTAGTGCTCTACGTCTCACGGAACGTCCGCAGAAACCTTATGGGAGAGGGGCTGTTTTCATCCCCGTTTTAAAGATGAACAGCTTCAGCTAAGGCTCGAGAACTTCAGTCACTTCTACTAGGGCACACAGGCAGAGATGCCACGAGGGGCAGCTGGAGACCGTGCAGTTAGCAGCTGCCCTGTGCCGTCTCCCAGAAGAGGCACCACGCTGTGGGAGTCTGCCCCTCACCTTGTTGAATTAAAACCCGCTAAACACACCGTGTGGTTGGTTAGGAAGACACTTCTCCATCTTGGTACATTCTGTGATGACACAAAAGCCATTTGTGTGTGTGTAAATCAGGTGCTAGTTACTGCAGGGCGCGTGTAAGCACAGAGTGACTTTACATGGCGCCAGTGAGGCTGTGTCAAGACTCCAGAAGGAGCTGGCGTGGAGCATGACTCTTAAACTAGGCGGCAGCAAGACAAGGTGAGCGGGAAGTGTTCAGCAAATCTCGTGGCAGTGTCTGGGTGTTGGGAACGAACATCTGGCCGATCTGAGAATTTGGGCTCCTGCAAAAGATGGAGCCACTCCCTGAAACAGTCATGCAAGGGTTTCCTGAAGGCAGCACGCCGTCCCACCGCTCAGCCAGTGCATCCCGCTCGCTGTCTTCTCTGTGGACCTTCCCAGCCAGCGAGGGAGCCTTGCTGTGTGCAAGCGTCCTCCAGAGATGCGATAGAAAACCCAGAAAGCCAAGCCCTTCACCCCGCTGCCATCCCAGGAAGGCTCAGAGTGAGCTCCCAGGCCTGCAGCGCCATCCCGGGGAATTGCTGTGAAACATTGAAGTGTTGCGTGGAGCCTGCTGTGAGGGCTTAGGTGAGGGCGGCAAGCCAGGGTGTACCAAGTAGGGTGTCTGCCCCCCACCCCCCTGAGCTTCTCCTGAAAGAAAGATAGGAAGGGAACTTCACTTGTACAGGTACTTGAGTGTTCAGTGCTGGTCACATGTATGATACTTCCATGGATTCGTTTGACTATGGCCGAGGGTTGGCCTTGAGTTTGTGGGTTAGATGGGGAAAGCAGATGTGTAAGTGGTCGTGAGTTCTTAGGGCAGATGTCGTGGATCTGGTGTGAGATCTAGCAGCCACTGGGACTCACAGGAGTGAGAGGAAGGAGGAGCTTGAAACTCTGGTCAGTGCAGCCAGGAAGGGGCCACAGCTATACACACAGGTGGAACTGAGAGAGTTGCGTTGTCCCTCGAGTTATAGTAGCTCTCTGTACAAGTTAAAGGGTAGCTTTGCCAAACTGCTTAAGGGCCAGCCATGGTGGCTGATCCCTGTAATTCCAGCACTTTGGGAGGCTGAGGCGGGCAGATCACTTGAGCTCAGGAGTTCAAGACCAGCCTGGGCAACATAGAAAGACCCCATTTCTACAAAAAAAAATCAAAAAGTGAGCCAGGCGTGGTGGCATGCACCTGTGGTCCCAACTACTCAGGAGCCTGAGGCAAGAGGATTGCTTTAGCCCAGGAGGTCGAGGCTGCAGTGAGCCTGGGTGACAGAGTGAGACCCTGTCTCAAAAATGAAAACAAAAAACGACTTAAGGATGTGTGGCTTTGACCTCTTGTTAGTTTAAAACTTCATTTGTCCTCCTCTTCTTCCTCTTTTCCGTGGGTTCTGAAAATCCCCAACCACAGCAAACACAGAGAACGTTTCAGTGAATGGCACGCACATTTGTGTTGGGCTTGACTTTCCTCACGTCCCGGCCTCTGTAGTGGCCAGTGAGCCCAGCAAGGTCTTTGTTTTGTTTAATTTTGTGACTCGTTCATTCACCCATATCTGCAAGGACTTTGGACGTGGCCACCCCCACAGCACTCTCCACGCTCCCCATGGTGGTAGCAGCATGGTGGCAGGCCTTTGTAGGACACGATGACATCACATCATTAGGTTCTCTCCACGTGGAGGCTGCTGACCAGTGGTCCTAGAACGCCTCTGTCCCTCCTTCAGCAGCAGAGCCCCAGCCTGACGTGCTCACTGGACCCCAGAAGCCATAGGATTTGCTGTCAATTCTCAGCACAGCGTCAGACCTTCCTGTCTGATGAGCATCTGGCGGAGTATAGCCTTGTGGCTACAAGGTGGCATCAAAGGTGTAAGATCACATTTGTTTCTATTTGAGACAGGGCCTTGCTTTGTCACCCAGGCTGGAGTACAGTGACTCTATCTTGCCTTACTGCAACCTCTGCCTCCTGGGCTCAAGTGATCCTCCCCTCTCAGCCTCCAGAGCAGCTGGAACTACAGGCACTCACCACCACCCCCAGCTCATTTTTGTGTGTTTTGTAGAGATGGGGTTTTGCCATGTTGCCCAGGCTGGTCTCAAACTTCTGGGCTCAAGCGATCCACCCACCTCAGCCTCCCAAAGTGCTGAGACTGCAGGTGTGAGCCACCATGCCCAGCCTACTTCGTTTGTTTAAAAAAAAAAAAAAGCGGGGGGGCGGGGGAGAAAGAAAAGAAAAAAAGAAAGAAAATGGGTTAGGAAGAGAAATGGACTCAGACATCATTAGCATTTCCATAGTGCAGCTTGCCAGCCACCCTTAGGGTTTGAGCCCTTCCTTTCCAAAAGCATTCAAGGTGGATTTCAGTGTTTAAAAGTTGCAGTGTTTGACGCTTAAGGAATAAAACCTGAGAGATTCGTCCAAAAATTCAAACTGAGTAATTACAACGACATTGAATTTAGCCGTGAGGTTCCTGAGCAGGCAAGACAGCGATGGGCCATGCAGGTTTTATTTTCTGTCCCAGCGGAGCATGTGGCCATTTAGACAGCCCTGAGGACAGCGCTGTTCACTCTCCAGCCTCAGGGCCCTTCTCAAGGGAGGAGGTGCTGGGTGTGGGTATCACAGTGGCCTGAGGACTGGGGGTTGCTTGGCGTGATTGGTGGCCCCTGTTAGAGTTACTATGAACGGCCTGTCACTGCTCAGCTACTGCTAATCTAATTACATTTTCTCTTTTCTGTTTTCTTCCCGTATTCTCGTTTTTGTTTGTTCTCCACCTGGATTCTGTAGTATAAGTCTGTGTTTAGGTCCTACTCCCAGGATTTCGTGCCTCACCACCAAGCTTCCGTTCCGCCTTTCCTTCCGCCTACCTCCTCTTCCTCTCCACATTTCCCACCTGCCCACCAGTCTCAGAGCTCTGACTTAGCCGTGCCAGCCATGGCCGGTCCACCTCCCAGCACCGTGGACGGGCCTCTCTCGGCTTCTCAGGAGAGCAGCTTTCATGGGAATACTGTCTGCCTTCCTTCCGAAACCTCTTTCACTGACTCGGTGAGAACTCAGCGCGCACACACACACGCACACACATACCCCTGCACGTGGGGCTGCACGGTTTTTTAAAAAGCGGTTTCACTGTTCCTGAAAGGCAGTGCCTTCCCTTCACTAGCAGTCAGGGGTGCCAGCGCGCACCTGCTACTGAGGGTCACAAGGTGCGATGGTAGCCCATCTGTTTCCAGAACAGAACTGACTCTTCTCTACAAAGTTCTATCAAACTAGGAATCTGATTTTCCACAAATAGATTAGTGGGCATTTAGAGATGAAGTTATCAGACGCATAAGATACAAAATGCTACTAGCTTTCCATTTAGTTGTCTGTTTTTAGGGAAAGGGTGTCACGCACCCCTTTGCAAGTGTGGAGGTGACAGATTCAGGGCAAGTGTCTGTTTGGTTGCATGTGGTGCCGATGACAGAAGCCTATTAAAGTGCCTGTAGCGCTTCGTCCAACTCAGAAATGCTGCCTTGCCGATTGGAGCAGAGAAGTACATGGGGCAGAGGAAGTGCAGGCAGCGGACCCCACTCCCCAGTGTGTGGGATTGTCTTGATGTGTTGCTTCTCTCCCTGCATAATCGTTTCCCGCCACACTGGGGACCCCTGCCGTCTCCACTACAGTGGGGCCGTCTCTCCAGGATGATTTAGCCCCGGACACCATTGGAGAAGCAGCTGCAGGAGACTTGGGTCCTCTCTAGCACAGAGGCAAGAGGCGGCAAAAGCAGCTTTGCTCTCTGCACCTGGGGAGAGCAGAGTGCAGGCCGTGGCGTCCCCTGGCCAGCTGTGAGGGCTGGCTGGAGGGCCTAGCCCATGTGTCTTTCCTCTCGTCCTGTCTCCCCCAGAGTGAAAACGCCAGTGAGGAAGCTGGTGAGGGTGAATATGTCAATCTGTATTCCTCTGGCCAGAGCAGCGAGGAGCTGGCTCCCTCTCGAGGAGTAAGTAACCTCGGGCGGCCTCCTGCATGTGGCCTGGCCTGGCAGGGCTTGGGCCCTGCCCTCCCGAGGCCGCTTCCCCCGCACCTGCTTCTGTTGGGTTGAGCCCCCCTCCTGGTCACCAGCAGACTGGGCTCCTGCAGGCTGCTGGGAGCCAGCTCGGCCCTTGGGAGAGGACATGGCTTCCAGGTGGAGGTCTGCCCTTTGCTCCTGCTTCAATGTGTGTGGCACTCCTCAGAGCCTGGCCAGATGGGTCTTCTAGAAATCTCTGGGAGCAGCATGGCACGGGCCCCGGCTGTGTATCCGGTGCTCTCTGTGGGGTTCCTTCCTCCCTCATCTTCTGGTGTTAGCTTCATCTTCTGTCCCTCATGCAGAGGGAGGGACTCTTCTCCCATAGGGCCTTTCAGACCTTCATCTCCCTCCTCCCCAGCATGTCCCATTGCTCCAACACTAACTGCTTCCGAGGAAGCGAGTGAGTCTGGCCCATAGCCCCTGCCATGGCTATGCACACCCCCTCCTGAGGGAGGCGCAAGGTACCCGACGTCAGCACCCTTGTGACGCTGCTATCCCAGCTCCCGACCGTCGAGGTACAACAGTTCTATTGAGCAATCCACTTTCTAAGTTTTGCTTCAGCCAAACATGAGCAAGTTCAAAAGCGTCAGAAATTGCTCTCCCCACGAGCCCAGGTGGCACAAGTTCCTTGAAGGGAGGCCCATGAGGAGTGGAAGACTCCCAGTGATCCACCTCAGGGCAGGGCCCTGCCCATGAAGAGCTTGGTCACACCTGTTAAGGTGGTTCTCTCAGCACCTTACAGATTCAGAGGCCCACACAGAGCCAGCCCTGTTTCAGACATTAGCAAGCTGTAGAACACTGAAGAGTGTTCACTCTAGTAGGATTTGACCCACTGTCCATGGGGGCTGTCTCCTCTGCTGGCCTGTGCCTCTGGCACCCCCTGGCTCAGCCTCCCCATGGTGAAGTCCATGCGCAGGGAGAGGCCAGCTTTGCACAGCTCTCTCCCTCCACGGTGACGCTTCCAGGGCCCACTGGCTCCTTGCCTCGAAGCACTATTTCTGTATTTGTCCTGCCCCAGTTCTCCATCAGGCCTCAGCAGCAGACCAGGGATGTTGGAGGGCCATGTTGTCACTGAGTAGGGCCAGCCCAGGGACCCAGGAGGAAGTGAGTCTGCTGGAGGAAGAGGGGACTGGCACCCCAGGGCCTGAGCAGCTGGCCCTTTGGGGACTGAACCCGGTTGAGCACTGCAGCCCTGAGGACTTCTTTGACTTTAAATCGGCAGAGTGTGGTTCACAACAGCAGAGCCCAGTGGTTAAGGGCACAGGCTTTGCAGGTAGATAGCCCTGGGTTCAAATCCAAGCTCTGCTGTTTATGAGCTGTGTGGTCTTGGGCAGGGTCCTTGACTTCTGACCTCTGTTTCTGTGCATGGAGTGGGGACGATGGTGTTAGCTCACTAACGAAGTCAGATGAGGAGAAGCAGACAGAGCCTTGAGCCCAGCGCCTGGCTGTGCTCAGGGGGAGTGGCTATGACAGTCTTCTTTGAGGAGGTGGTTGAGGTAGCTTTGCCTAGATTGGCAGCTTACAGATGTTACAAATAGTGGCACCTTTCACTTTCTCCAAAGCCCAAGATGCTAGTCTCCAGGGCTGGTGTTTCCTGTGATTAACGGCATTCATCGTTAATTTGTTCACATCTCAGATTGCTCCATAGGAACTTGCACTCTACGGCCACTTGCAGGCAGGAATGCTGGGAAGACAGAGCAGCCCCGCAGTGGGCCCCTGTCCAGAACTCAGCACCCACTCCTCTTTCCAGGAACCACCGGCTGGGAAAGACGGACATTCCAGAGATCCCTCAGCAGTCAGCAGCATCCCTGGGAAGGACAGCAGAGACGGCAGTGAGAGGTAGGAAGTGGACCCAGAGGAGCTGGGTCCCCCAAGAGCAGCGTACCCACTCATGAGGCCTGCCTGAGCGGCCCCTCCCAGCTGGCCCCTAGGCCTGAGGGTGTCTCAAGTTGAAACTCTTCCTTCTTGTTTCCTTTTTTTGTTTTTTAGATACAGGGTATTGATCTGTCACCCAGGCTGGAGTGCAGTGGCACAGTCGCAGCTCACTATAATTTTTAACTCCTGGGCTCAAGCGATCCTCCCACCTCAGCCTCCCAGGTAGCTGGGACTACAGGCATGCAGCACCTCACCCAGCTGATTGTTTCAGTTTTTTGTAGAGACGAGGTCTCGCTATGTTGCCTAGGCTGGTCACCAACTCCTGGCTTCAAGCGATCTTCCCACATCAGCCTCCCAAAGTGCCGGGCTTACAGGCATGAGCCACTGTACCTGACCCTCTTCCTTTTTTTCTGATTCTCAAATAATACAAGCTCAAGGTAGAAACTTGAAAAGCATAGAAAACTGCACGAAAGCAAGAAAAATCACTAATTACCCCACCCTGCAAAGGTCTTCACATGTAGTTTGCCATTACTTCTTAATTGTTTGCATCTATATTATCTACCTTACAAATTACCCACAATAGCCTTGTCTTGTCTTTTTCAAATCCCAGGCCAACCTTCCTTGGTCTTGGCCTCTTTCAGGTTGATAGGGAGTGTAAAAGACACCCCTCCACCCACAAACTTGTTATCAGGGACATTTCTAGACATATGTGTGCATGTTGTGTTGCTGACAAAAATGTCTTGTATATCTTAATTTTTTGCAGCCAAGATCAGGAGCTGTTCATTGCATTTAGTTGCTATAGCTCTTTAATGTCTTATAACTTTTTTTTTTTTTTTTTTTTGAGACAGAGTCTTGCTCTGTCACCCAGGCTGGAGTGCAGTGGCACCATCTCAACTCACTGCAACTTCCGCTTCCCGGGTTCAAGCGATACTCCTGCCTCAGCCTCCTGAGTAGCTGGGACTACAGGCATGTGCCACCACACCTGGCTTATTTATTTATTTGTTTATTTATTTATTTATTTATTTTGGTATTTTTAGTAGAGATGGGGTTTCACCATGTTAGCCAGGATGATCTCGATCTCCTGACCTCGTGATCTGCCTGCCTCAGCCTCCCAAAGTGCTGGGATTACAGGCGTGAGCCACCGCACCCGGCCACATTTTTCAATATTAGCACAAAGCAAACCTGACCGAGTATAGGAATATGTAGTGAATTTCCCCAGTATGCACTTGTGAAATATGATGTGTGGGGTCTGCAAATGGGCACTCCCACTGCAACTTCACATTGACTTCCCCTTCACTGTGAAATGTTCCACGTGTTCAAGCTTTTCCTCCCTCCTTAGGTCAAGCTTTAGCCATCTCGGGGGTCTTTGGTGACCTTAGAGCAAGGGAGTGCCCACTTGTCATTATCAGGGCTCAGGGCTTAGGTTGAAGAGGCAGTTAATAGCAAAAGAAAAAGAAATGAGAAAGCATTGCATAGGAACCTGTTGAAGAGGGCCACCTGCCCAGCCTGCCTCCTGGCCACTCTTGTGCTCTGTGACTTGTCTCTCTGATTTGTGTGCCCAGACTGAGGTTTCCCCAGGTGTGAAGCCAGGAATGGTGTGGTTTCTAGGTTAATACCTGGGGCAGAGTATGTGGGCCAAGGAAATGCAGCTCATGGGTGTGCCACCAGCTTCACCGGACCCCACAGTATCGTCTTCAGAGTTCCAGATGGTTCTCGTGAAAGAGAAGGATGAACACTTTGACTGCTCAGAAATAATTGTGGGATGTTGTGCCTCCATCAAGGCCAAACACAGGCTAAACATTGACGAGACATGGAGCAGGGTTCTTGTCAAGACTGGGCAGGGCCCACTCTGACCCATCCGTATTCTTTTACTGAAGGCACTGTTTTTTTTTTTTTGAAACAGAATCTCGCTCTGTCACCCAGGCGGAGTGCAGTGGCATGATCTCGGCTCACTGCAGCCTCCACCTCCTGGGTTCAAGTGATTCTCCTGCCTCAGCCTCCAAGTAGCTGGGTTACAGGTGAGCACCACCGCCACGCCCAGCTAGTTTTTCTATTTTTAGAAACAGGGTTTAGAGACAGGGTTTCACCACGTTGGCCAGGCTGGTCTCGAACTCCTGACTTCAAGTGATCCACACCACCTCCCAAAGTGCTGGAATTACAGGCGTGAGCCATCATCACGCCCGGCATAAAGACACATATTTTTACATCTCAGATACCTGGGGATAAACTGCAATCTATGACCACAAGACTGGCCAGTATAAAACAGAGGAACGTGGAAGAAAATGCCAGGGGAAAGCCGGGTATATCTGCAGGCCCAGCTTCCACTCTCCCCAGAGCACCCTAAGCTGGGAGACTCATCTTGGACACTCCCGGCCGTCCCACCTTCCCCTTTGTGGGGAATGTTCTCTCCCATCCTTCCGCCGGCAACTTGGGCTCAGTGCTGCAAGCCTCGGCTCACCCATCCCATTCCAGAAGCCTCCCGACCTTTAGACGAGCCCAGACCCCCTGCTTGTGCTTGTGGTACCCTTCTGGGCTTCTCCGTTCTCTGTGCTACTGTGACCACTTGTTTTAAATTCAGTCTCAAAAAAAAAAAAAAAAAAAAAAAAAAAAAGACTGGGTGCGGTGGCTCATGCCTGTGATCCTAACACTTTGAGAGGCCAAAGCAGGAGTATCACATGAGTCAGGAGATCAAGACCAGCTGAGCAACATAGTGAGACCTCATCCCTACAGTGAACAAAATTATCCAGGCATGGTGGTGGGGGCTTGTGCCTGTAGTCCTCGCTACTTGGGAAACTAAGATGGGAGGATGGCTCGAGCCCAGGTCAGGGCTGCGGTGAGCCAAGGTCACGCCATTGCACTCCAGCCTGGGCTACAGAGGGAGACCCTGTCTCAAAAAAACAAATGAACGGCCGGGCCCGGTGGCTCACACCTGTAATCCCAGCACTTTGGGAGGCCAAAGTGGGAGGATCACGAGGTCAGGAGTTCGAGACCAGCCTGACCAACATGGTGAAACCCTGTCTCTACTAAAAATACAAAAATTAGCGGCCGGGCGCAGTGGCTCACGCCTGTAATCCCAGCACTTTGGGAGGCTGAGGCGGGTAGATCATGAGGTCAGGAGATCAAGACCATCCTGGTCAACACAGTGAAACCCCATCTTTACTAAAAAACAATACAAAAAAATTAGCCGGGCATGTTCTGGGAATCTGTAGTCCCAGCTACTTGGGAGGCTGAGGCAGGAGAATGGCATGAACCCGGGAGGCAGAGCTTGCAGTGAGCCAAGATTGCGCCACTGCACTCCAGCCTGGGTGACAGAACAAGACTCTGTCTCAAAAAAAAAAAAAAAAAAAAAAAAAATTAGCAGGACGTGGTGACATGTGCCTGTAATCCCAGCTACTCAGGAGGCTGAGGCGGGAGAATCACTTGAACCCGGGAGGTGTAGGTTGCGGTGAGCCAAGATTGTGCCACTGCACTCCCAGCCGACGTGGTGACATGTGCCTGTAATCCCAGCTACTCAGGAGGCTGAGGCAGGAGAATCACTTGAACCCGGGAGGTGTAGGTTGCGGTGAGCCAAGATTGTGCCACTGCACTCCAGCCTAGGCGACAGAGCGAGACTCCGTCTCAAAAAAAAAAAAAAAAAAACAAATAAATAAATTCTGTCTCCTGCTAGACTGAACCCTCAGGGACAAGAGGCTATATCTGCTTGATTCACAGCTCTTTCTTAGTGCCAAGCAAAGGGTCCCGTGGCGAGTCAGTCCTTGCAGAAGATGGGGAGCAGCCTCAACAGCAATGCGACTTTCTCTCCCATTCTGCTTGCCCCTTTGCTCCTCCTCTCTCTAAAATGCTGACTGTGCAATGGGCCTTGGCAGAGAGTGGCTGAGACCATCGCTCAAACAGCTTAATGGAACCTTTTTATTTTCCCAGCGGAATCACTTCCGTGGACAGATGGGACATCCGGAGGCAGCAGGGAATGTCCTGTGGCCACACAGCCAGTCAGTAGCAAAGCTGAGGATCCAGTCCATAGCGATGTAGCTGCCATTGGGGCAGGCGTGTTCTGGGAACAGTTTTGAGCCGTGCACACCGGCACTGCCTTGGCCTCCAGGCATCAGGAGCTGGGCTGGTTTGACACTTGCAACACAAACCACTTCTCCCCTCAGGGCCCCAAAGTCACCAGATGCTCTGGAGTCGGCTCAGTCGGAGGAGGAAGTGGACGAGCTGTCCCTCATCGACCACAACGAAATTATGTCCAGGCTGACGCTCAAGCAGGAGGTGAGGACTTCCCAGGCCGGGGTTTTGCAGCCTGGCCCCACCGAGAGCACGTGGGGCTGAGGAGACCATGATCTTGTCATAAGCAGAACAACCCGAGGAGGCTTAGAGACCAACTCTTTCAGTGCCCCTGGGGAGCCTCTGGGCTGTGGGCTCTGGAGGGATAGACTCCAGGAGAAGTGTGCCGTCTCCTGATGCTTCGAGAAAGTGATCTTACACAGGTCAAGTTCTGCAGCCTCTGTAGCAAAAGATGCCACAACTCCTGAGGGTGTGGAGATAGAACCCATGTAAATGCTCTGCAGACAGAGCCTGTGTGTGGTCGGCCCTCACTAATGGGAAACTTTTTCTGTTGTTGAAAATATAGCCCCACTGTAGCTTCAGCCTGGGAGACATCAGCTGGGTGTCTCCCTGGGAGGCCAAGGCAGGCGGATGGCTTGAGTCCAGGAGTTCAAGACCAGCCTGGGCAACATAGCAAGACCCATCTCTAAAAAAAAAGAAAAGAAAAGAAAATTCAGGCCTGGACACTGTGGATTCCCTGGTCCTGTGCCTTGCCTGCAGAACCTCGTTAGTGAAAACAGGGCCCAAACCTGTGACAGTGGAGAGGAAGCTGGACCGAGAGTGCCCTGCCTCTCCCTCCTGGCGTGCAGTGCTGGAAGTGCAAAGGAACAGCTTCATAAAGCAGCCTTGGCCCGCACGAGGAGGCAACTATTTTGGAGCTTTGATTTGATGACACATAGACAAAAGGGCAGATACCGTCCTTTGCACACTCCCAGGCAAGAATGCGCTGGCTCTGGCCATGGCAGGGAGCAGCCCAGGAAGGTGTCTGCACCTTGGACTGTCACATGCAGGCAGGGCTGGTGGGGGTACTCGCACAGCTGGGCTCCTCTGCGGAGAGAAGTGTCATTTCATGATTCTTGCCATAAATTTCTTCCTTAAAATCAGGTCAAAGGCATAACTCCCACTCCCAGAGGTAAACCCAAGACAATCTCAGGCCTCTGGAGTCCGGAGGTAAAATACCAAAGCCCAAAAATAAAAAGGTGGACGAGTCTCGGAGTGCGTGCCACAGCTGAGAGGGCTGGTTCTGTCCCCTCCAGCGTTACAGAGCAAGGAGCATTGAGGGGCAGGGGCAGAAACAGGCCTGGGGGTTTGTCCTGAACCTCCGTCCCTGGCCCTGGTCACAGCTCTTTTTGGCTGTATGCTGGGTGACCTCTGTTTGCCCGCATGGAAGCAAGACTTGCTGCTTAACAGGCAGGTGTGGTGTGCAGCATCAGATGTCATTGAATATCTCTCTCTCTAATGCTTTGCTCTCCTCTAATGAAGGGCCCCATGGAAGAACCTGTGTCAATGCAAGTAGCTTCTACCTCCACCTGGGGAGACAGATTTAGATTTAGGGCAGCTTGCTACAGTTTTGGGGAACATGAACATGCTTGGAAATAGTCCTGCTGCCTCCACAGGCATCCTGGGCAACCCTGGGAACTGTCTTGCCCCCGGGGGGTCCTACTTCACCTCTGACTTGTGGTTTGGTGAGCAGAGAACGGTGGATGGTGCTGTGTCCCCTGGCCCAAGTTGTGTGCTCAAAACAGTGACATGTCGTGGTGCCTTGGTGCTGGGGCAGCTCCCAGGCCATCCAGCTCTCAGACTCGGTCCAGTTTGTGCCTGTCACCAAGCACAAGGCGAGTCTGGAGGGCACCCCTGGCATTGCAGTGCAGTCACACTGCTCCTGGGCCAAGGAGCACAGGAGAGGGGACCTGGGGTCCCTGCATTGCATTTTCTTTGTCAGCTCATTCCTGCCTATTTCTTCCTAAACTGACTCTCTGAAGGGCATACTCTGCCTCATACCTTCCTTGGCTGTTTTCATTACAGGGTGATGACGGGCCAGATGTCCGCGGAGGATCTGGTGACATCTTATTGGTCCATGCTACTGAGACTGACAGGAAAGGTAGGGTGCCCTCTCCACAGTGGCCTTTGTGTCAGCAAGCTCACTAGATTGGGGCTGATCCCGCCCCAGGTGCCACTCGGCCTCCCATCACTATCCTGTCCCCTTCTGGCAGCCAGCCCTGAGCAGGTCTGATGAGCAGTCCTGGGGCACCTGAGTCAGAGCAGGGAGAGCCCACCTTGGGAGACAAGTAGATCATGTTCAACTCCAGGCATGTGTGGCGTCTGTCCTCCACTGGTACAAGGTAATGACCCCAGGGCCTCCAGGGTCCTTGAGGGGCTCAGCGCATAGCAGGTGCACCACAGACAGTGCCTTGAATGGTGGCATGTCACCCAGTAGTACCAAACTTAAGATAACTTGCAGGTACCTTTTGATCCCTTTCCTGACTGCTGAGTCACTCTGTTATTCCAGACCGTTAGACCAGACTTCACTCACATACTCCACGAGGAAATTCTTAAAAGTTTGTTCCGTCCAGGAACCTTCGATTCTGTAGCAGTGGCCTCAGTTTCACAGCACACGGCTGCCCCACCCCACCACGCATTCAGTGTGCTGATTGAGAGGGCTGGAAAAGCAGGGACCATCCCCTAATCCCTAAAACGCCCTGTTGGGTGGACTCTGCTAGCAAAAGAGCTGTCATTCCCAGTCATGTTCTGGAAAGGAGGTGCCAGTGACCTGGTGGGGCGCGGCCGCAGCCCCCTTCACTGCCTGCCCTCAAGGGGCCAGCACCACCCGGCCAGCCCATCTCTCCACATGCTGCTTTGCTTTTTACATTGAAAAAAATGATTTAAAAGATGATGTCAGAGCAACGGTAAAGTAAACTGTGGAGGGAATGAAAACGCCCCCACCTTGAAATCCTAGCCCAGCCTGTTTCATTTCTTTTTTTTTTTTCTTTTTTTTTTTTTTTGAGACAGAGTCTTGCTCTGTCGCCCAGGCTGGAGTGCAGTGGCGCATCTCGGCTCACTGCAAGCTCCGCCTCCCGGGTTCACACCGTTCTCCTGTCTCAGCCTCCCACTGTTTCATTTCTGTAAAGGACTCTGTCCCTGTGTTTACTCAACACGTTTCCCAAAACATGTGACCTAGAATGACTCGGGGAATTTCTGAATTATGGAAGTAGTACTAAAAAATATTTACGTTGCAGAAAATTAGAGAAAAAGAAGAGATGACTCCCACAAACTCACCGCAGCCACTGTTCCGCCCTCCCCTTCACTGTTCCCTCACCCTTTGTTTGTTCTGACCAGGGCAGGGCCCAGACCTGGCGATGATGCATCCTAGCCCCAGCTGTGCCATGACAGGCTCGGAGGGCCCCTGGGCAGTCCCCAGGCTTCTCGGCCTGAGCCAACTCCACTTGTTGAAGGGGTGAACGGTGCCCGTTGTTATGCGGATTACGTGAGGGAGTGTGAAACCTGCCCCACACGTCAGTGGTGCAGGGGGCGTGATCAGCACCATCCTGAGCGCAGCCCTCACTTGGCTTCTTTGCAGTGAATCCCCTCCCTGCCTGACACAGTGGGGCTCCATCCTCAGCCAGGCACAGGAGTGACTTTCATTTCCTTTTTGTCCACAGTGAGGGACTGAAATGGGAGCTGGCTTCAGACCTCGGCTCCAAAGGGTGAACTCCACTGTCCTGTCGGGTACAGCCAGCTGTGGCCAAGGCTGGAGGGGGCCCGAGACAGGACAGCCAAGAGGCTTCTGGCTTTTGCTAGCTGGACCTGCTGAAAGGAGGCTCTGTGCCGGTGGGAGCTTTGCCTGATGTTATTAGCAGGAGGGTTGGAGGCTCCCCAGAACCAAGGTTGTACCTAGGAAAGTATTACTGAGGCAGAAGCCATGGCTCCACTGGGAGGGTGAAGCACCTTGTGGCAGGTAACAAAGCAAGCTCCTTGGACAGGTGCTTCCTACTAGCCATAGACTGCACCAGCAGCACGAGCGGCTGGGAGCCCCATGGCTCAGGCCTGTGGAACCCAGCCTGCCGAGCAGGGCTTGGCAGGGAGAGGCCGTGTGGGGGTGCTTTGTGGTTGTGTGGCTCTGCTCTCAGGTGTCAGGACCTGCATGGGAGAAGGTCAGGTCAGCCTTGGCCTCAGGCCTCAGCTTAGATCCTGCCTATCCCTTGGCAACTGTGTGCCAGGCCTGTCACTTAGCCCCAGAGCTTCCAATTCCTTGGGAGGAAAATGAGGGACAATTTTGGGGCCTTTTAGGGCTGTCACGAAGACCAGGTGAGCTAGGGTGCACAGAGTGCTCAGGGCCACACCGAGAGTCCTGTGATCACTAGAGGAGTGGCACGGCACTGCCCGTCCCAGAAGCCAGGTGCTGTCCCATCTGCCGTAATCCAGGGCACAGCAGAGGAGGGAGGGCTCTGAAATTGGGCAGACATGGGCACAGACTCGGTGTGGTGGTGTGGCCTCGTGCCTGGGCTCCTCCTCCCTCGGTGGGGTAACAGGCCTCTCTGTCCTTGTGGGATTGCTCTGGGCACTGAAGGATGTGGCGTATGTTCAGGGCATGGCCCAGTGCTCACCAGCGAGTCCCACGAAGTCGCCATGGCTACTGGCAATGATGCACCCGCAAAGGCCAGTTGACTTGGGCCCATTCTTCTAGAAGCAGGTGTGGGTCTATGCTGGCCATCTCTGCTTCCTTCCTGAAGCACTCTTTGAACAAAAGTCCAAGCTTTACAGTGAACTGGGTAGGTGTGGGGGCCCGGGAATGAGCCCGAGCACGGTGCACATGGGCCCTGCTGTGGTTCCCAGCCCATGGAATGAGCCTGAGCACGGTGCACATGGGCCCTGCTGTGATTCCCAGCCCGTGGAATGAGCCTGAGCACGGTGCACATGGGCCCTGCTGTGGTTCCCAGCCCAGAGCCTCCCTCACTTGCCGGCCCCACCCCATGCAGCCTCCAGTGCAAGAGCAGGCATGGGGTTTCCTCTCTTGTGTGATGCAGGAGGGGATGGGGCAAGGGTGGGGGCAGGAGCCAAGCCAGCACGGCTCAGCTGGAGACATTGGTTCCTCATGGTTCCTCTACCCAGCAGCTCGGCAATGAGTGAGAAGGTGGGAGCAGGTGGTCTGTGCCCAGAGCACAAGATTTAAGCCGTGCATGTGTGCGCCCAGCCTCACAGTGAGGAGCACGGCTGCGGAGGGAGCCTCCTTGGGTCTCACCCCTCAGCAGCCATGCGGGGTGGCTGCAGGGAGTGAGTCTGGCCACCTGTTGGCTCAGGCAGTGTCCTACGTTCTAAAATTCCACTTTTTTCTGTAATATCAGAGACAGCACAGTTGAGAAGGTGTCACCACAGCAAATAAATAAGGCTGTTGTAATTCTAGGAAGTCTGGGAGTCCCTGGCTGGTACCAGCCTCCTCTTAGAGGAGACAGGCGTGGAGAAGTGAGTGGTGGACGGGAGCTACCAGCCCACATCTGCCCAGTGGCTGGCACCACGCCCCTCCTCGGTACCTGGCCCAGGCTGTGCCTCTTCAGCCTATCCCTTAGGACCCAAAACGTGGAATTTCCCCAGATTTTTGGGTTGGACCCTACCATCTAAAAGTACTGGCTGGGCACAGTGGCTCACACCTGTAATTGCAGCACTTTGGGGAGGCCACTTGAGGCCAGGAGTTTGAGACTAGACTGGCCAACATGGTGAAACCTTGTCTCTACTAAAAATACAAAAATCACCAGGTGTAGTGGTGCGTGCCTGTGGTCCCAGCTACTCGGGAAGCTTGAGGCAGGAGAATCACTTGAACCCAGGAGGCAGAAGTTGCAGTGAACCAAGATCACACCACTGCACTCTGGCCTGGGCGGTAGAGTGAGACCCTGTCTCAAAAATAAAAATAATAATGAAAACTTAAAAATAAAAGTACTGCCTAGGATTTCATTTCAGGATCCTGCTGACAAGTTTGAACAAATATTTCCTTTGTGCCCATGATGGCTAAGACCCTCTGAAGCATTAGACACGGACAGGCAGAGCCTCTCAGAGTCTAATCCAGGGCTGGCTTCTACCTGGAACAGGCATGCCTCCGGGTTTTGATGCCTAGGGCAGGCATCACTCGTCAGCCTAAGTGCCCTCTTCCGCTGGGACCAGAGCTGGCCTCAGCTCCCACAGCACGGTTCTCCAGGCAGCACCATCGTCAGTAGAAAGTGCCCATGAGATAAAACCCATTCCTGTTTTCCCTCTCTGATCTGCTATTTCCTTTTAGAGATGGACAGAGAGGACGTGTGACTTCTCTGGGACATGCAGGCGGAGGCACCAGAGGGGGTTCCCAGGCCCTTGGCTCCCTCGCCCGTCCCACTCCCCATGCCATCTCCCCTGCCTCTCTCAGAGCAAGGACCCAGATCCACCCCAGCTCCCACCCTCAGCCCTCTGCACCCTGACAAGCAGCTTGTGTTGCTTTTCCCTCTAGATTTGGTGTTGTACTGCGAGGCCTTCCTGACCACCTACAGGACCTTCATCTCCCCAGAGGAGCTCATCAAGAAGCTGCAGTACAGATATCCTTTCCCGCCTGACCCACGGCCCCTGCACCATGGGCATTTCAGAGAGAGAGGGGCCCTCTTGCCCCTCGGCCCTCGTGGGGGAAGCTGAGCAGCATGTTGGGTGGCAGTGTGATTGAAGTGGGGACACAGGAGCCCCACGGACCGAGGTTCCCACCTCTGCCCTCCTGCATTCCAGCTTTGAGCTCGGGCAAGCTCCTCATCTCTTAAAGGGTCGAGTGAAATGATGTGAAGAGGCTGGAACGTAGTCTGGGAATGTGTGCCTGGTGGCAGTTGTGGTTATTGGATGATTCTGAAAAAGAATTAGGCCCCGGACTGGGAGGGAGCGAGTGTGCCGGTCCTGCAGACGCCCCTGCAGAGACCCCCCACAGTCGGCTCTGGCAGCTTCTCAGAGCTGAGCCCCAGGACATTGGGCACGATGGACACCAAGACCCAAATAGAAAGCTCAGGGGTCAGCACGGTCACCTCCCCCGCAGCGGACTCTGCGACTGCCACATCCACAACTGGAATGGGCTCCTGTCCCCAGATCTACCTCACGGGCCCACCCTCAGTAAATGTCACCCTCTGCAGTAGTGGCTGAGAAGGACCCCAGGGGCTTGGAAGGACCCACTTGTGTGACCCGTTGCTTCTTCAAGCCCGAACCTGCCCACCCTACGAGGCTGACCTGCAGCTACTGCTCCAGGAGGGCAGGCTGGGTCGGCTGCTCCTCAGCCACCTCTTAGCACATAGCCCACGGCTGCCATCTGCTGGGCAGCCGCCACCACCTGGGGTAGGAAGTCCTGAGTCCACCAGCGCCCTCACCGCTTCCTGTATGCCCTGAGCCTTCACTGCTCCACTCGGGGTCTCCTGCAGACCTCCGGGCCTCCCGTTCTCCCTTCGTGGTGACCTTTAGAATTCCGAATCTATCAAGACAGACGTGGACATCTTCCACTGGCGGAGTCTCGGGTCCCTGGGAAGTTCTGTCACTCAGAGCGCCTGCTCACAGGCCTGGCTCAGTGAATGGCTGTCACTCACACGTGTCGAGGACTTGCTGGTCAGGCGAGATGTGCTTTACATGTTTACATGTGTGCTTTCACGTAGCTCTATGACCATTTTTTAATACGTGTGTGTGGGTGTGTGTAAAATTACCGTATTGTACATGGGGCCACTGCTCTATAATTTCCTGTTGTGTAATTGAGGAAACCGAGGCTCAGAGACATGAAGGACCTGACCCATGTGGCTGCTTGGTGGGAAGGCAGCCACATGCCACTTGCCCCCCTGCTGCCAGCGCCCAGGCTCTCCACCTCTGCCCGGCTCAGCCATCATGGAAATGGTGCAGCATCAAGGTCTAGGCCTGACTGGCTGGCGACCCCTGTGCTATGGACCAAGCCATCATCCCTGCTACATTGCTCTGTCCTGAGCCCCATGACTTGGAAGGTCCAGGATCGCTAGAGAGAGAGCAGGAGGGTATCGGAGAGGTCTGGAGAGTTGATGGCAAGCACAACAGCCGGGCAGGAAACCCTGACTGCAAAGCAGAGCCCAACCTCAGGGCATGAGCCAGAGCTGGTCGGGTGCTAGAAGGGCTGCCCTGGAGACAGGGAGCCAATTTGGAGCGTGCTGCAGCTCTGGGAAGAGAGACCCGGCCCAGTGTCACGGAGGCGAGAGCTCCCCTGCAGAGCCCAGGGAGGCAGCCTCAGGATGGAAACTCACAGAAAGACTGGAAGGAGACACTTCTGGCCTACACGCTTGCCCAGCGACCTGGGGTTTTAAGGGTGTTTGGTTTGGGCCCACCGTTCTCTACCTAAGGTTCAGCAAGGCACTCTCTACATGTCTGTAGTCTCACGGGCACCTCGGGGTGAACCCGACAGAAAGGCAGGCCTGGACAGTGCAGCAGAGATGGCATGGCAGGCAGGAGAGGACAGCAGCCGGGGGCATCCCTGGGGTCAGATGCCTGTGCTCAAATCCTGGCTTTGCAGTTGTTGCCCTGCGCTAGTCCCATGCCCTCGTTTCTGGATGCCAATGCTTTACACGCAGGGAGACGGGCACATTGTGAGCGCTCAGCAAGTGGTCCCCAGGAGTCAGTCCTCCACTCCCACCACCCCCGGCCGGCCACGTGGCTATTTCTTTAACCCATGCTCCACATACGAGAAATTCTCTCCCTTCGCCGACACGTTCAAGAAGCGCGTCAGCAAGAACACATTCTTCGTACTGGTGCGGGTGGTGGATGAGCTTTGGTGAGTGCTTCACCCTTGGGGTCCTAGGGGGCCAATGGGGAGGCAAAGGCTCCAATCCACCTGCTTCTCCTGCCCATCGGCTCTGGGCAGAGCTGGCTCTTGCCTGCATTATCTTGGTCCTTTGAGAGAATGGCCCATCCCCAGCAGGCCAGGGTGAGGTGGGTGAGGTGTCTCTCCACCCTGCACCCAGGCCCTGGATTTCCTCATGAGGTCCCTCCTGGACCCTCAGGAGAGAACCCGCCACACCCACCTGCTCCCATAGGTATCTTAGGTCCAGTCTCCAGCAGGCCATGCTCTCAGCCACCAGCCATGGTGGAGGCTGTGTGGAGGCTGGAATGGGAGAGGCTGCCTCTCCCTCACTCCTAGTGTTTCCATGGCTGGCCATCTGACGGCATGGCACTTGCCATATCGGTTCCGCTGACAAATCTCCATCAGGCGGACTGTCTTCCTCCTGCTGGGGGAGATGACTGTGGTCAGTGGCTGTGCGGCTGGGAAATGGCCATGCGTGGACAGCTCTCAGCAGGGCAAGTCAGGAAGTATCCCTCGGGCATCTAGTCTGAGAGGTCAGGAAGTCTTGGTGTCTCATCGCCCAATGGGAGCAGCAGCTCCCCAGGGTGGGATTTGTGTGGGACTTGTCCCTGCAGACCAGGCCCCAGCAGAGTCCCTGGCACTTGTCCAGTGCCAACAGATGGCTGTTGCGTGTGTGGCAGGTGCTATGACCATCCCAACACCTCCAAGAACACAGGCAGCCATCCCAGGCTCTCGTCTCCTGCTCTCTTCCCCTGAGAAGTTTCCCAGCCAGCTCTGTGCCAGTCATGGCCCCGTGCCCTTTGTGTATCCCAAGGCAAAGCCAGAGTCTGCCTGGGCCTTGTGTTCCTGGTCCTCACCTTGTGCTCTTTGGTCCTTCAGCCTGGTGGAATTGACAGAAGAGATCCTGAAGCTGCTGATGGAACTGGTCTTCCGCCTGGTGTGCAACGGGGAGCTGAGCCTGGCCCGCGTGCTCCGGAAGAACATCCTGGACAAGGTGGACCAGAAGAAGCTGCTCAGGTGTGCCACCTCTGGCCAGCCCCTGGCGGCCCGGGGGGTAGCAGCCAGGTGAGGAGCCCACCTCTCCAGCCCCGCCTCTTCCCCAGGAGCTGTGCCTTTCTCAGTTTACCCTCCCTCCCTGCCAGCCCCACAGCCCCAGCCTGATTCTGCGCAGGCCCTTTGATGAGGTGCCTCAGGAACAGCCCCGTGGGTCCCTGGGGGCTGGGCCTCTTCTCCAGGAGACACATATTGGGTGGTGATCCCCTTGTGACTAGGAAGTGGGCAGCAGGGCATGGGGCTTCAGAGGACAGGGCAGGAGTGCACACACCCTGGGCTTGGGTCAGTTCTGGGTTGTCCCAGCATGAACACGGCAGTGGTTGATGCTAGCCCGGCCCTCTGGGCTACCCTGACCATCCCTAAGAATCTGCATAAAGAGTCCGGGCGCAGTGGCTCAAGCCTGTAATCCCAGCACTTTGGGAGGCCGAGACGGGTGGATCACGAGGTCAGGAGATCGAGACCATCCTGGCTAACACGGTGAAACCCCGACTCTACTAAAAAATACAAAAAAGTAGCCGGGCGAGGTGGTGGGCGCCTATAGTCCCAGCTACCAGGGAGGCTGAGGCAGGAGAATGGCGTGAACCCGGGAGGCGGAGCTTGCAGTGAGCTGAGATCCGGCCACTGCAGTCCAACCTGGGCGACAAAGCGAGTCTCTGTCTCAAAAAAAAAATCTGCGTAAAGATTCCTGTCTGTGGCCTGCCCCCTCTACACCGACGGTGAGTGCCATTTGCAGCTATAGATGTCTGTTGAGTAGTGGGCTCCTTCCGGTGAGTGCATAGCCTTCGTTTCTTTGGCACCGTCTCTGTTCTTGCTGGCCACCTAGAAGCGGGCTCCAGCCATGAGTGAGCCTTCTTGGCATGTCAGTTGTCCATGAGCTCACGAGGGAAACTCAGGCTCCTGATTCCAGAAGCTGCTGGACACACTCAGCAGAAGCAGGAAGGAAAGGCAGACAGTGTTGTCCTGGAGAGAGGCAGGAGGCCCATAGGGCCCCAGGGAGCCTTTTGGGGCTTCCCCGCCACGTAGCCTCCACGCTCCTGCTGGGCAGAGAGGCTGTCCTGATCCGACGCTGCAGCCCGGGCCTGCTTACCTCTCCCCACCGCCCTCCCCACCCCTGACGGCTCTTCTCACGCCTCTGTCTTCCAGGCCGGGGACCTTGCACGACTTTCACAGCCATGAGATCGCGGAGCAGCTAACTCTGCTGGATGCTGAGCTCTTCTATAAAATAGAGGTACAGGCTTCCCCTGCCATGGGGAGCCACACTGGTTGTCCCTGAATGAAAGAAACCCCATCACGGGAAAGCCGGGGGCTCCACCTCCATCTGCCTTCTTTCCTTTTGCAGATTCCTGAGGTTTTGCTTTGGGCAAAAGAGCAGAATGAGGAAAAGAGCCCCAACTTGACCCAGTTCACGGAGCACTTCAACAACATGTCCTACTGGTGAGGGGCCCAGCGCCAAGCCCTGTTGCTCTGGATGGTGGCACGTATGGGTGGGCTCTGCGTTTTCCTTTGCATGGAGCTCAAATGGTAGGAGAAGGAGCTACCTCTTTCATTCCTCTAAGCTCCCGGGGGCCCCGCGAGCATTGACGACGAATGGTAGACAGAGGACAGGGGCAGGCAGAGGACAAGGGCAGGGACAGGACGGGGCTTGCTGGAAGTGGCCACCTGGTTGAGGAGGCTCAGCGGGGAAGAGTGCCAGGGTCGAGGAGCAATGTCTGCCATAGGTGGTGTTGGGAAGGGCGTCGAGTTTGCCCTCCTGCCCTGTCACTGCCAGGCGATCTCAGGCTGACGCTCACACTGACTCTGCCTGACAAAACAGTTAGCACAGGAGTGGGCTCTATAACATTAATGTTTGTATTTAGTGTTTAATTCTCTGTGTGTGTGTGTGTGTGAGTGGGCTCTATAACATTAATGTTTGTATTTAGTCTTTAATTCTCTGTGTGTGTGTGTGAGTGGGCTCTATAACATTAATGTTTGTATTTAGTCTTTAATTCTGTGTGTGTGTGTGTGTGTGTGTGTGTTTGAGACGGAGTCTCGCTCTGTCACCCAGGCTGGAGTGCAGTAGCGCGATCTCAGCTCACTGCAAGCTCCGCCTCCTGGGTTTACACCATTCTCCTGCCTCAGTCTCCCAAGTAGCTGGGACTACAGGCGCCCGCCACTTCGCCTGGCTAGTTTTTTGTATTGTTTAGTAGAGACGGGGTTTCACCGTGTTAACCAGGATGGTCTTGATCTCTTGACCTTGTGATCCGCCTGTCTCGGCCTCCCAAAGTGCTGGGATTACAGGCGTGAGCCACCGCACCCGGCCTAGTATTTAATTCTTAAAGCAAAATAAATCCCAGTAGTGTGTTTATAAAGCAGAGAGCTCTTGTCTCTTCAAGAGGCGACAAAGCCCCCACAGCAGCTCAGTATCAGGCAGGGCCCCGCCCCCACTGCCCACTGCTGTGCCAGCCCCCACTGCCCACTGCTGTGCCAGCCCCCACTGCCCACTGCTGTGCCAGCCCCACTGCCCGCTGCTGTGCCAGCCCCACTGCCCGCTGCTGTGCCAGCCCCCACTGCCCACTGCTGTGCCAGCCCCCACTGCCCACTGCTGTGCCAGCCCCACTGCCCGCTGCTGTGCCAGCCCCACTGCCCGCTGCTGTGCCAGCCCCACTGCCCGCTGCTGCCTCCAGGAGAATGTCTGATGTGTTTTAAAGGCCCCGAGATCATCTCCCCTTTTCCTGCCATCCTCCCCACAGAAGCACTCCGTCCTGGGGAAAGCATGTTTAGCCATGGCAGTCCAGCGTAGGGTTTTGCCCAACAGGATGTGGTTTCTAAGGCAGACGGAAGCTGCACACAAGGCCCCAAGCCTGGCTTCTGACAGCAGCCTCTGGCTGGGTGCAGGAAGCTTGGGGGCACGCTCCACAGGGCCTGGCTGCACAGAGGTGCAAGCGCAGTGGCTCACACCTATAATCCCAGGACTTTGGGAGGCCAAGGCAGGAGGATCACTTGAGCGTAGGAGTTTGAGACCAGCCTGGACAACATAGAGAGACCCCCATCTCTACAAAAAATTAAAATTAGCCAGGTGCAATGGTACATACCTATAGTCCCAGCTACTCCGGAAGCTGGGGCAGGAGGATCAGTTGAACCCAGGAGTTCAAGACTACAGTGAGATATACTCACAGCACTGGGTGACAGATCAAGACCCTGTCTCTTTAAAAAAAAAAAAAAAAAAAGGAAGAAGCAGCAGTGCAAAGTGTGGCACCTCCTCTACGTGACCCTGGTAGTGGCCCCTGTGAACCACAGGAAACTGAGGCCAGCGTGACACCCCTGCTGCATCTATCCCACAGATGAGACTGGCCTGTGGCTTTGGTCTCGGCTTTGGTTGCTACTAAGGTTCTCAGAAGTTCCTTACCTCGTGGCTGCCTAAGGTGACTTCTTACGTCACGTGCTAGCGGGTCTCCCCGAGCCAGTCCTGCGCCGCACAAGGAACTTGCCCAGCCCCCTGGTACTTGGGGTCCATGCTTGCCAGGAAAGGCTCTGCTTTGATCCTTCCATGCTCCACCTGCAGATTCGAAGCCCCCTTTGGGCCTTTACCAGATTTCCTTATGGTCACCAGATTTATTGTCACCAGATTTCCTTGTGGTGTCTTCCCTCTGTCCCAGGATGCCATGAGCTCCTGGAGAGCAGAAAGTAGGTCTATGCCTGGGGCAGGCTGCACATACTCAGTAGGGGTGGGCTGGTGACCACTGGCATGGGGGTCGTACAGGTCCTGTCTCCACCAGGACCCCTGGGGCCTGCAGGGACTGGTCAGCTCAGCTGTTTCTTTTTCCCTTGGTCCATGCAGGGTCCGGTCCATAATCATGTTACAGGAAAAGGCCCAGGACAGGGAACGGCTGCTCTTAAAGTTCATCAAGATCATGAAGGTAATGGTGGCCAAGTCCTCCCCAGGCCCCCACCATCAGTCCCTGCCTGGGGAGCCCGGGACCCGCCTGCCCTCGTGCCTCACGGCGCCGCCCCTCTCTCGGCAGCACTTGCGGAAGCTGAATAACTTCAACTCCTACTTGGCCATCCTCTCTGCCCTGGACTCAGCGCCCATCCGCAGGCTGGAGTGGCAGAAGCAGACCTCAGAGGTGAGCGGCCTTGGGGCGTGGGTGGGAGGATGCTTGGTAAAGGGGGCCATGCAGCCCTCAGACAACCAGCTGTGGCAGAAAGTGCTCCCACTGAAGCAGAGGCTGGGCCTAGGCCCCTGCTCTGCCACCGACATGCTGTGTGGCCAGGACAGCTGCCCTCCCACCTTCCTGTCTCTGATCGCCAGTCTTCAGGCCCCAGGGAGCTTCAAGGTTGGTTCCAGGGTAGTCACATCCTGGTGTTCTGCTGCCACCCAGCAGGCCCATCCCTGGGTTCCCATCTCCCCTGCGCTTCCTCAGCCCGTTCTTCCGAAGGGTCTGCTCTGGGCCGGGCGCTGCGGTGGGTGCTGGGGACGCACTGTGAACAGCCCAGCACGGCGTTGGGTGGGTTTCTGCTGGATAAGTGCTGAAAGAAGAAGGGTGGGCAGGTGGGCCAGCCCAGAGGAAGTGTCCCTCATGCCACCACCTGTAGAGGAGGAGGAGTTTCCTGGGAAGGGAAGAGAATCAAAGGGGACAAAGGAATACACAACCGGGAGCAGGTGGGGATTGGCACCTCCAGGGACAGGAGGAGGCCAGGGGACCACATCCCCGGAGAGGGGGACCAGCTCTAGGTCATGAGAGCCTCAGGAGCCTGGTGAGGAATTGGGCCTTTATCCTGTGTGGGGAAATATTATTGCAAGTATTGCAAGTGGGGGCAAAACCCATAGCTTTGAGTGTCAGCCAGGCTACCCAGGGATCATGTCAGGGATCCAAGTGTGACCAGACCACCCAGAGGTCATGTCAGGGACCCGAGGGTCAGCCAGGCCACCCAGGAGTCATGTCAGAGACCCGGGTGTCAGCCAGGCCACCCAGGGTCGTCTTGTTCAAGCCCATGTTCAGGGATGGTTGTAAGCTAGTGTATGGGGAGAGGTGGGAAATTCACACGGCCTCTCTGCAAGAGGGCTCCTGAGGAGGCAGCACTGCAGGGAGAGGCACCTAACAGGAGAAGAGGCAGGAGAAGGGCCTTCTGAGTGGGGCAGGGCTGGCTGAGTCTCCTAGGCGGGAGCCCACCACCCCTGCAAGAGAGAAGCCTCCCAGCCCTTAGGAGGGCGAAGTCACATGCTGTCTCTAGTTGGTCCTCCCTGAGTGCAGGGCAGAGCAAAGGCAGCTCGGAGCCAGGAGTGACGCCACTCAGTGTGTGCCTGGGAAGCTCCTCTGGCTGGCAGGAGCCCATCTTCCAGGACGTCGTACACACGTAGGCGCTGGCTGTCCAGGCACAATGAGTACTGTGGGATGTTTCTCCACAGAACGGCCTGAAGTCCCCCTGTGACCAGGGGTTGGGCTGACACTCATTGAAAAGGACAGAATCCCTGCTGACCAGGGCCAGGACCCACACCTGGCTGGATGTTTGCACGTGGTGGGACCTGTGGAGGTGGGCAGGGGTGGTTGACCCTCCATTTAGTGAGGAGGACCAGGGCTCTGTCCCAGCATTGCCCCAGCACTCGCTCACACCTGTCCTGTCCTGTCCTGTCCTGTCCTGCCAGGGCCTGGCCGAGTACTGCACGCTGATTGACAGCTCATCCTCCTTCCGAGCCTACCGGGCCGCCCTCTCGGAGGTGGAACCGCCGTGCATCCCGTACCTGTGAGTAGCAGCCCCTCCAGGCCCCCAGCCCCGCCTGGGTTTGCCTCCATTGCTCTGGGGAAGATCTGTCAGGCTCTGGCAGAGAAATCCTAATTTAGGGGTTTCTAACAGAGACATTTGTACTTCGGTTTTACTTAAGGTTCTTGTAATACATAATGTACATTACATATATATAATATAATACATAATGTTTCTTATAATACAGTTTAAACAGAACAGAAGGGCTCAGGTGAAGAACACAGCTCCTTCCCCAGCCCCCAGCCTGGCTCTCGTTTCCTTTCATAGCCTGCTCATGAGCATGTGCAGCCATGCTTGTGACAGATGTATGGCTCCTGTCCCCACACACGGCATCACACACTATTCCAGTGTCCTCACACGTGGATGCGCATTAGAGCAACCTGAGGATGCACAGCCACCCAGGAACCTTGAGAGCCTTGGTGTAAAGAAGTTCAGAAAGTGCTTCCTGAGTGTGGACCATGGGTGGGAGGAAATATGTTTCATAGAAAAGGGACATAGCGGAATAACCAAAGCCAAACAAGTGTCTGTTGCAGGAGTTACGAGAGCCTTTAGTGTGCCATAGACACTGAGAATCTCCAAGAGACCAAAACTCAGCAGCATCCCAAGGCTGAGTGTTCAATGGCACATCCTATAGGATTCCTGTAGGGCTGCCCTCGAGGCCTCAGCTCTCAGAGATACAAATCCCCAGGCTTTCTGCTCCGAGCGCTAACAGTCTTTCCCACCATGGCTCCACAGCTGCTCGCTCAAGCTGAGTTCTCCCTGAGTGGAGGAGCCGCCCCCGTCTCTCTCATCTGGCCTTAAGTCCTCTGCAGTCAGAAGCACCTATTAAGTTACTACACCTTGTTTGTTTGTTTGTTTGTTTGCGATGGAGTCTCACTCCGTCACCCAGGCTGCAATGCAGTGGCATGATCTTGGCTCACTGCAACCTCTGCCTCCTGAGTTCAAGCAATTCTCCCACCTCAGCCTCCTGAGTAGTAGCTGGGATTACAGGCGTGCGCAACCATGCCCGGCTATTTTTTTTTTTTTTTTTTTTTTTTTTTTTTTAGTAGAGACAGGGTTTCACCGTGTTGGCCAGTCTAGTCTCGAACTCTTGACCTCAGGTGATCCACCTGCCTTGGCCTCCCAAAGTGCTGGGATTACAGGCGTGAGTCATCGCACCCGGCCTGTTTATTTATTTGTTTAATAAAGACGGAGTCTCTGTCACCCAGGCTGGAGTGTAGTGGTGCAATCATAGCTCACTGCAGCCTTTAACTCCTGGGCTCAAGGAATCCTCCCACATCAGTCTCCTTAGTAGCTGGGATTACAGGCACACACCACCATGCCCAGCTAATTTTTGTATTTTTTTGTAGGGACGAGGTCTTGCTTTGTTGCCCAGGCTGGTTTCAAACTCTCTTTTTATTTATTTATTTATTTATTGTTTGTTTGTTTTTTGAGACAGACAGAGTTACATTCTTGTTACCCAGGCTGGAGTGCAGGGGCGCAATCTTGGCTCACTGCAACCTCCACCTCCCAGGTTCAAGTGATTCTCCCGCCTCAGCCTCCCAAGTAGCTGGGACTACAGGCGTGCACCACCATGCCCAGGTACTTTTTGTATTTTTAGTAGAGACAGGGTTTCACCATGTTGGCCAGGTTGAGCTCAAACTCCTGACCTCAGGTGATCCTCCCACCTCGGCCTCCCAAAGTGCTGGGATTATAGGTGTGAGCCACCACACCCAGCCTAGCTGTTTTCAGACTCTTGAGCTCAATCCTTCTGCCTCAGCCTCCTGTAGTACTGGGATTACAGGTATGAGCCATCGCACCCAGCCCACCACACCTGTTAATAAAAGGAGATCTCCGCCCCTGCCCCCTGGTTTGGGTTTTGGTTTTTTTGGGGTTTTTTGTTTTTTTTTTTTTTTTTTATTGCTCATTTGTTTAATGTTACTTTAGCAGCCATGGCAGCCACGTCACCCTCAGGCTCCTCATCAGCTGTACTGGCTTCCAAGGGCCCCAGCAGGTGCTTGTGGAGCCAGAGGCCAGAGGCTGAGGAGGGAGTTTGTTCTGGGAAAGACAGACACCCCAGACTGGCTCTTTGGTTTGCTCTGGGGTTTGGAAGCAGCAAGGGCTAGAGTCGTGTCAGGCGCTAGGACTCGCAGTGAGCAGCTGCCAAACCAGCCCCTCCCTGTAGCAGTAACAGGCTTCCTAACCCGTCCTCCCAGGGGGCTGATCCTGCAGGACCTGACCTTCGTTCACCTGGGAAACCCAGACTACATCGATGGGAAAGTGAACTTCTCCAAGCGGTGGCAGCAGTTCAACATCCTCGACAGCATGCGGTGCTTCCAGCAGGCGTGAGTGCCGCTGCCCCGGGGGGCTGGGCAGAGCTGAGCCCTGGGCCACACCCAGGGAGAGACAGCCCAGGATGCCGAGGGGAGGGGGAGCCACAGAGGACCCAGGGACCCGCCCCTTGCTGAGCAGGGATATAGTCCAGGCCCTTCAGTTTCTGCCAGGATGACTTGAAAGCATGCCCACCAGGCTCCATGCCAGGCCTGGCCCTGGGCCTGGACCCCGTGACGGCACAGCTCGTCCTCCCATTTTACACACTGGAAGCTGGTGCCCACCTGCTGTGAGAAGCGCCTGACAAACCCTGGCCTGCCTGACTCGGAGGCACCAGAGCTCCCCCAGGGCGGGCCCTGACATGCATTGTTGGGGGCAGTGGGGTCACCTGGGGCCCCTTCCCTTTGAGCAGCCCAGCCTCAGGGCCCTGTTTGTGCTCCATATGCTGGTACTGTCTCTGAGTGCTAGTGTCCCCCCTCTGTCACGCTGGTTAACGGCAGCCCCTGCAACATCCGTTGGCTGCGAGGCTGTGGGGATGGTCCCCACGGCACCGTCCAGGAGGGTGGCGCCATCGGACCGTCCAGCCCACACAGGTGCTCACTGACTGCTCCCCATCCCCTGCACCAGGCACTATGACATCCGGAGGAACGACGACATTATAAACTTCTTCAATGACTTCAGTGACCACCTGGCTGAGGAGGCCCTATGGGAACTCTCTCTGAAAATTAAACCCAGGAACATAACAAGGAGAAAAACAGACCGGGAAGAGAAGACCTAGGAGCAGCCGCCGGGATCGAGGAGAATGCTCGAGGGGCGCGGAGGGCAGCTCCCAGACCGGAGAGGACCTTGGACTTGTTAGGCGCGTGGCAGGAGTCCCGGCCTCGGAGCCACGAGGCTGGCCAGGCCTCAGCAGGGCCGGGCGGGAGCTGGAGCCTGCCTGCCGCTTCCTGCCTCCCTCCTCTGTGGGAGCAGACCCGTGGGCCTCTGCAGCCAGCAGGCAGGTCTTGTTGCCAATTTGCAAACCGGTGGTTTTCTGGTTTGGTTTTGTTTTCTGCTTTTACTTCCATCTCTCCCCTCTTGCCCTTCCACCCACTCCCCTCCAGGGAGAGAGCAGCAGAGACCTCATCAGCAGACCAAGGAAGTGGCGGGTGCTGCCCCTCCCTGAGCTCCAGGGTCCCTGAATCTTCTGAAATGGAAAATGAGTGGAGGCCTCTGGGGTGGGTTGTCCTCCAGGGGCCCTGGAATGTGGGGGCGAGCAGCTGGGTGGGCAGAACGCAGAGTAGACTGGGAGGAGGTCCTTTCACTTCTCGCTTCCGCTTCTGTTGCATGGAGGATGGTGTGAGCTTTGCAGCAGGCCCGGAAAGGTACGCAGGTGACCCCTTAGCAGCTGGTGCTCTGCACCGCGGTACTGGCGCCATCAGGGCCTCCCTTGCCCGCTGAGAGCAGCAGCAGTGTCTGTCATCCCGTCGCCCCTTACCCCCCACCCCAGGCCACTGGGCCCCTCCCACACCACCTGGGGAGCTGAGCAGAGGAGGCTGGAGTAAGGGAGGACTTGATCATCCAAGAAGTACTTTTTATTGCCGGGAGTCTTCTGAACCTTACCAAACTGAGGCCAGAGCTGAGCTCCTGGGGGAGTTAGTTCAGAGGGGAGAGGCCAGCACCTCCCTCCTCCATCGCTCGCTGTGTGCCTTAAACTCCATCTCCTGTCCCTCCCCATCCCCTGGCTTTCCCTCCCTCCTTGCCCCATCCTGGGCTGGCCAGCAGGGGCTCCTCCTCTGGCTCTTCAAACCTTTCAGCCAGTGCTGTCAGTGCCCCTGGGAGAGAAGAGCATCCCTGAGGCACCCGAATGGGCCCTTGGGGTGCAGGGAGGCAGAGGCCTGGCCGCGGAGGAGCCTCCTAAGGTAGCAGCTGCAGCAGGTGCGCCCTCTCCTTACTCTCCCCACACCAGAGCGGCTTGCAGAGCAGATGCTCTTTCCATCCTCCTCGTCAAAACCGTTCTTGCTGCTGAGCTTGACAATCTGGGCAAGGCTTGTGGGGCGCTTGGCAAACAGAACCTGCCCTGTGCCGCCCGACTCTGTGGCCTCCAGCATGAGCCTGCAGGCAGGGCACTGCGGGAACCCAGTCTTGCTGCCCCAGCCCATGCCTCTGGGTCTGCTGTGCATGAATGAGTGCTCACTTGTCCCAGGTTTAGGACAGCAGGGTCAAGTGAACAGCAGGGTCTAACTATGCTTACTTAGCCCAGTTCAAACAGAACAAAGGCAAAACGTAGAAAGCAACATCTGTTGATCATTTGGGTTTTGTTTAAAACAACCATGTCACTTTGAGTCCTTCATGGGTTTTTGAACAGCATTTATCAAGAAGAAAATGTGGGTTTTTTTCCCCTCTCCCATGTTTTGTTTGTCCTGTAGATAGAGGGAGGAAAGCCGTGCAGTGGCAGGCGGGACCCCCTCTGGCGGCGGGACCCCCTCGGGCGGTGGTCCTGCAGGGCCAGCCGGGACCTGTCACTTTATTATTTAAGGAGTGTGTGTGTAGAGTCGCTGGCTTATTAACAGTATTGTGTGTGGGTTGGGTTTTTAGTTTGTTCCTTCTTTTTGAAGTCCCTTCATTTCAATCCTTGCCTCTCTCTCCCCTTCCCTTGCCCAGCTCTGTTGAATGCTGCTGTGCGCGTGTGAGGGCCTCTCTGCACACAGGGCCCTTGGGTTTGTGCGAACTGAAATTCTCCCTGTATTTGTAAGACTCGTAGGAGTCCCCCTCTGTAGCACAGGCAGTGCCAGTGCCATGCTGCAGCCTCAGAAACCGGGCCTCTCCCCCCAGCAGCAGGCGGAACCGTGTCTGTGGTCGGGTGCTGTCCACAGCTCTGTCTGCCTTGTTCTTGGGCTTGAGCCGGGTGGAGGTGGGGTCTCTTCACCTTCCCTGAATTCAGAACAGACCCTGTGCCTGGCCCCAGTGTGCCCAAGCAACTCCCCAGGCCCTTGTTGGGAGCCCTTGGTGGTCTGAGCAGCGGGGCCCAGGCAGCACATGAGCAGTGCCCGGGGCTCCCTGTGTGAGGATGGCAAGGTGCGATGTATGTCTCACTTATTGATGGCAGGCGTGCCCCTGCGCCCCTGCTCCTGGTCCTGGTTATTGCTGAGCTCTGTGCTCAGTGCTGCGGCCTGGCCATGGCTCGTCTGTTCCTTTTTGGGGGCCGGGTGGGTTGTGGGAATCAGTCTTCACAGACAGACAGGAGCCAGGCGGAGGACTCGTTCCTTGCAGAGGTCAGTCCTCACCTGCAGGTGTCGGGGGTGGCAAGGAGGGGCAGACGCACACCATGTTTGACCTAAACCCGATTCTGGGGAGCGTCTCCCGCTCCAGCCCCATGACCTCCACAGGGTTACATTGTAATATATATGCCCCAGCTAACCTGTCTGATGGTGGCATCTTCCTGCAGACATTTCAAACATGTAACTTTTATATGGAAAAAAAATAAACACAGACGAAAGCCGCCGAATGTCATGTCCGCGCCCAGCTGCGTGTGTGCAATTACAGTGACAGCCCAGCCTGCTCCGGGCTGGCCTCGCCACCTCTTTTCTGAGACCCCTCTCGCAGGTGGAGCTCCTGGGAGGCTGAGGGCCATTCAGCTGCATTCCCAGGCCCACTCGCCGCCGTTGGGGTAGTTGTGGCTGAGTGGAATGGATGTTGCCAGAACTTTCCCTCCTAAGCCTTGTGCCCTAGAAGCAGTCAACTGGGCAAAGAATTGCTCGTTCCCCGGAGGTCGGTTCATGCATAGGAGCCCCCCACCCCAGTGTCCTGGTGAAAAGGGCATTCCTCGGGTGGGATTCGGGAGCACAGGCTCTAGAACTGCTCCTCAGGGCCCGGAAGCACTGTCTTTATGGTGTGCCTTTTGCGGTGTGTCCTCTGCCACCCAGGAGGCAGTGCACAGAGGCTCGGGCCCAGCCCCCGCAAGGAACAGCAAAGCCTCTGCACTTACAGGAGTCGGAGTGAGGAGGCCCTGGAGATTCCAGTACCTTCTCTGCCCTGAGGTGTGCTGTGTCCCCTCCATGCAGAGTTAGGCACAGGGCCCAATGGTTCTGGGAGACCATTCACCATCTCCCTGTCTTCCTTGTCCTCCCAGAGCCACCCCCATGCCACGGCCCACCCGTGCCCCAGGGTTTCCACCCTAGCACCTGAGACCAAGCACCCCGGCATAGCCACCCAGGGATGGCGGGAGTCAGGGCCAGCCCTCATATTCACCCTGGTTCCCAGTCCCCAGCTTTCAGCCCCACGGCGGCCCCTGGGGAAGCCGAGGATCTCTGCATCTCTCTGTACTTGGTCGTGCAGAGGTCGGACCTGGTGAGGGGGAGGCATCTCCCCTCATGCCCCCTCAAAGGCAGCAGCTTAAGTCTGTCCCTTTAAAGGGAGAGGCCAAGTATTCCGAGACCCATCACAAGATCTGATAGAAGGGACCCCGCATCAGGCAGGCATCCACCATCCCCTCGGCTGTTGGCAGAGTGCCCGTGTGTCAGACACCACCCCGGAGGATGGAAGCCCAGGTTCTCTCTTTTGTTCGTTGCAATCCTCTGGCACATTGCTCAGCCACTCCAGCCACTCGTGCCTCAGGCTCCTCGTTATCTGCTTTTGTCCAATTCGACCAATAAGCTCGCAGAGGCCCGAGAGAGACCAGTTCACTCCTTAGTCCTCCACTCCCATCTCCCTCCCCTGCCAGCAACGCCAAGAACCTGGTCTGGCCCCAACAACCCCAGTGAGCAGTAGGTGACATGCCAGGTATGGACCTCAGGCCTCAGCCTTCCCACCAGGGCTGCAGGGCAGCAGCTGCTGCGACCCACCCTGGTCTTTGGTGACCGGCAGACCGCGAGATTCAGCGAGACCGCGAGATTCTGCGAGACCGTGAGATTCAGCGAGGGAGCCGCCATGGTCACGGAGGAAAAACCTTGGCTTCCGCCCCACCGCAGAGTGTCCCCGCCCAGGGCCTGGGAGTGTGCGTGCTTAGCCAGTAACCCAGGAGGCTCCGATGCCTGCTCCAACCAAGAACTGCAGTCCCACCGAAGGTATCTGAGCCGAGGGCCCCAAGCCTCCCACCTGCTCTGACCTTGCGGTTGACAAGCTGGGTCCCGCCCCCAGCAGTGCAAGGCTGGAGAATGAGGTATGATGGCTGACTGCTCACTATCCCGCTGTGGGATGAGAAGCAGGCCCCAGCATTCATTCAAACCTTTTTTTTTTTTCATTCATTCACTAGGAGTGCATTATTTAGGAAGCAGTCAAGATGTGGCTCGGGCCATCTGAGTCCCTCATTGGCTGGGGGAATATGGCCTTGGCTGCAAAGGGCTGTGTCCTGACTCTGCAGCTAAGCAAAAGGACCCTGGGTAAGTGGTTTTCTTCTCTGCTTCCCAGTTTCCCCAGCTGGAAGTGGGGGTAATAACAGCCTCTACTTCCTAAGGTCTCACAAAGTTTCAATGAGTTAATACTTGGAACAGGGTCTGGTGAGCATTTTGGAGTACCAAGCACTCTACAGACTGCTTTACCTCATTCACTTCTCTTAATCGAAACATCACACAGGCCGGGCGCAGTGGCTCACGCCTGTAATCCCAGCACTTTGGGAGGCTGAGGCAGGCGGATCACTTCAGGTCAGGATTTCGAGGCCAGCCTGGCCAACATGATGAAACCCCATCTCTACTAAAAATACAAAAATTAGCCGGGCGTGGTGGCGGGCGCCTGTAGTCCCCGCTACTCAGGAGGCTGAAGCAGGAGAATCGCTTGAACATGGGAGGCGGAGGTTGCAGTGAACTGAGATCGTACCACTGCACTCCAGCCTGGGTAACAGAGCGAGACTCTGTCTCAAAAAAAAAGAAAAGAAAAGAAAAAGGAAACGCTAAACTTGTTTTATGAATGGAATATAACCTTGACAATGAATCAAGACAAGGAGAGTACAAGATAATTACAAGTCAGTCCAGTGTATGAATACTGATACAAAATTTATAAAATCATCTTAGCAACCCCAAACCAGCATCACATAAAAATCAGTCCTTCCTGACCACGTTGGGCTTATCTCAAAAACGCAAGGATGGAATAATTTCAATAGTTAACGTCACTGACGCCCATGCTAGACGCTGTGGCTTTACACATCTGGTTTGCATCTTCTTCCTGGGCACACAGGGGACTACACTTCCCTGAGATCTGAGAGGCAGACACATGTCACTGTGGGCTGGGCGTTTAAGAACTGTTGCGTGGCTCCATACTTACTCTTCCCCACCGCCAGTACTCCTGGAGTCTGGGTGGTAAGATGGCAGAGCCCCAAGTTGGGGGAGCCTGGACAGGGACCACCCCACTCACCCACGCTGGCCTTGCTTGACGTGAATGAAAAATGAAGCCATGGAGACTTCAGGGTTTATTTTCACGGCATGGCCTCACTTCCCCCAAATATACCACGTTAACAAATTAAAGGAAGAAAGCCATAGAATCACCGCAGTAGTCACAGAACAGCCTTTGTTAAAAATGCAACATCCATTCATTATTTTTATTAGGAATAATAAAAATTCAGGGTTTCACTTTTGTCCCCCAGGCTGGAGTGCATGGCATCTGCTCACTGCAACCTCGAGCTCCCAGGCTCAAGCGATCCACCTCACCCTCCCAAGTAGCTGGGACTACAGGCACGCACCGCCACACCCAGCTAATTTTTTATTCTTTGTAGAGACCAGGTTTTACATGTTGGCCAGGCTCGTCTTGAACTCCTGAGCTCAAGTGATCCACTCAGCTCGGCTTCCCAAAGTGTATCAGGCGTGAGCCACCGTGGCCAGCCAAAAAAAAAAAAAAAAAAAAAAAAAACCTTTTTGTTAGCTAGAAATAGAAAGCTGCTTTAATCTGATAAAGGTTACCTTCCAAGATCCTATACAGACATACTTAATTGTGAAATATTCAAAGTGCTTCTTTTAAAATCAGAAACAAAGATTCCAGTAACTCCTTGTCTGTTCATTGTACTGGAGATCCTTGCCACCGCTGTGAGAAAAGTAAATAACTGAGAGATGAACAAGAAAATCTATGAAGGTGGCTAGCTATACAAAACATATTCCTATATACAATCAAAAAGCAACCAGAAAATGTAATCTTTTTTTGTTTGTTTTTGAGGATTTTGGGTTGTTTTCTGTTTTGTTTTTGGTTCGTTTGTTTTGTTTTTTGTGTTTTTTTTTTTGAGACGGAGTCTTGCTCCGTTGCCCAAGCTGGAGTACAGCCGCGCGATCTCAGTTCACTGCAAGCTCTGCCTCCCGGGTTCACACCATTCTTCTGCCTCAGCCTCCTGGGTAGCTGGGACTACAGGCGACCGCCACCATGCCCGGCTAATTTTTTGTATTTTTAGTAGAGATGGGGTTTCACGGTGTTAGCCAGGATGGTCTCGATCACCTGACCTCGTGATCCCCTGGCCTTGGCCTCCCAAAGTACTGGGATTACAGGCATGAGCCACCGCACCTGACCTGTTTTTGTTTCTTTTAATGGTGTCTTGCTCTGTTGCCCAGGCTGGAGTGCAGTGATATGACCATATCTCACTGCAGTCTCAAACTTCTGGGCTCAAGCAGTCCTCCCACCTCAGCCTCCCAAGGAACTCAGACTACAGGCACATGCCACCACTCCCGGCTTCAAAAAATGTAATCTTAAAGGACCCCATTTATACTAGCATCACAAGTCTTAAGGTCCTAGACCAGCAAAAGATGTGTGAAACCTTTATAGGAAAAATCAGATTTTATTAAAAACCATAAAAAACACCTTAATAAATTGAGAGGTGTGAATGTTTGTGGATAGGAAAATTAACTTTCTGGGAGTTTTTTGAGACAGGGTCTCACTCCCGTCACCCAGGCTGCAGTACCATGGTGTGATCTTGGCTCACTGCAGCCTCATATTCATGGGTTCAGGTGATCTCCCACCTCAGCCTCCTCAGTAGCTGGGACTACAGGTGCGTGCCACCACCTCCAGCTCATTTTTTTTTTTTTTTATTTTTAGTAGAGACAGGGTTTTGCCATGTTGCCCAAGCTGGTCTCACACTCCTGGGCTTAAGCAATCCACCTGCCTTGGCCTCCCAAAGTGCTGGGATTACAGGCATGAGCCACCATGGCCAGCCAACTTTTGTAAAGATGTCACTTCTCCCCCAGATAATGTATAAATTCAAAACTATTCCAAAGGAAATCAAAGAAGGACTTTATGTGGTCCTTGATGAAGTTAATTCTTTTTTTTTTTTTTTTTTGAGACAGAGTCTCGCTCTGTCGCCCAGGCTGGAGTGCAGTGGCGCCATCTCAGCTCACTGCAAGCTCCGCCCACTGGGTTCACACCATTCTCGTGCCTCAGCCTCCCGTGTAGCTGGGACTACAGGCGCCCGCAACCATGCCCAGCTAATTTTTTTTTTGTTTGCATTTTTAGTAGAGACGGGGTTTCACCGTGTTAGCCAGGATGGTCTCGATCTCCTGACCTCGTGATCCGCCTGTCTCGGCCTCCCAAAGTGCTGGGATTAC